TTCACTTTTGTGTATGGGGTTAGACAATAATCCAGTTTCATTCTCTTACATGTAGCCGTCCAGTTTTGCCAACACCAGCTGTTGAAGAGACTGTCATTTCCCCATTGTATATCCATGGCTCCTTTATCATATATTAATTGACCATATATGCTTGGGTTAATATCTGGACTCTCTAGTCTGTTCCACTGGTCTGTGGGTCTGTTCTTATGCCAGTACCAAATTGTCTTGATTAGTTTGGCTTTGCAGTAGAGGTGATGTAATTTTGAGACTTGCACACTGGTGTGGAGAGCGTAAAGGCCATGCTCTGAGCCTGACTCCAGTGGTTTCCACTGTTCCCAGACCAAATGTCTGTGATTACTATTGACTGACACCCATATACTGACCATTTATTTTACTGAAAAATCCATTAGCAATACTGATGGAGATATCTTTTGGACCACTTGATGGATAATTTACAGAGGTTGCTGGTGATCAACCCGGCTCACATCTGCCCTGTAAGCTACTGCACAGAAGTTCTGGGGTCCCTGATGGTCTGTCATCAAAGTAAAGAACAGTTCCTGCTGCAGTTTCAGAATGCTCTCACAGACTGTCTCAGTTTGAGCCATCCCTAAAATTTACAAAGGAAAACAGCAGAAATGGAGTGCTTTGATGACTTACCCAGTGATGAAGCAGAGCCTCCTAACACCCAGCTAATGCTTTTTGTATGGCCTCAATAGGCACTTCAGAGGAGGACCAGGAGGAAGGAGGAAGCCACAGACAGACAGGGTCTGGCAGAAGCCTGAGACTCAGGCAGCATGGGACAGATGGGCTGGGGAAGTGGTGCTCCTGTAACTATTCTGAAAGGGAGAACAGCCTCTGGCAATTGTTACCTTCTAGGATTTGGTGGACCCTGGAGTCCCGCACGTACTGCTGAACAGCATAGTCCTTCAGGTAGCCGTAACCTCCATGCATCTGTAAAGCTTGGTTGCAGATCTGTAGGGAAACACAGATTAGACGTCTCTGATTTCAGGACTGTGGAACAGGCAACTTCTGTCTACTCCAGCTCCCCACCTGGTAGCCTGTTGTACACTAATATGAGGAAGAACACCCTACAGGTAACAGCCAAACCCAAAGAGGGGCTCCGTATTCTGTGGTCAGAGATAACAGAGAAGTTCACCTGCTGCACTTGTCAGCTCCCACCAGACAGGCAACCCAGAGCCCTCTGCCTGTCCTGCTTATTACTACTTCCTGGGAGAAGCTGCCCACAACCTTCCTGGCTGGGAGTATATGAAGCTAGGACGCCATCTAGTGGCAATGCTACTAACACGGAAAGGGCTTTGCCCCTGACATGTTTAACGCATGATAGTGCTAAACTGGAGCAAGAGCCACTGGGCTCTGAACCTTCTTCCAAAGTTAGTGTGTCATATAGCACACAACCAAAAGACAGGGACAGAATGATGTGTGCAATGGCGTGAAGGTGAAAAGCCAGCTCTGAGACCTCCCAGGTAGGCCTCTCCTGAGTTCACGTATATCCTTAAGTCCCAAGGCAAAGTCCCTGCAGCATCCCAGCTGACTTACGGCTCTCAAGATCCTGGACCTAGCAGTGGCTCCCTGTCCACCCAGGAGTCAGAGGGCACTGCCACTTACAGTAAAGCACTCGTCTGTAGCGAAGAGCTTGGCCATAGAGCACAGGGCCACTGCATCTTCCCGTCCCTCCTGCAGGGCCACTGCTGCATTGCGGATCATCAGCCGTGAGGCCACCAGCCTGGTTGCCATGTCAGCCAGCTTGAATTGCAGATACTGTGGCGACGGGGGCAAAGACAACCAGACACATGGACAGGCTTAGCCTGGCACTTACTTGGGGCCCTCTGTGACTCATCTCTAGTGAGGCACCTTTTCTAAGTGACCCCAAGCTTTAAAACGTGCTGCCTTGTAAGCTGTAAGCCCACCTTGTTTGCCCTGTGATTCAGTATTATTACCTCCTTAAAAAGGTTATTGATAGAAACAGAGCACAAGTCCTGGCTAAAGATGGCAGAATGCCACAGGAGACACCACGGCCTCCCTTTCCCAGGGAACGTGGGCCACAGAGCAGGTATCATGCAAAGACAGGAAAGAAAATGTGCAGGCTGGGAAGTTACCTGGTTACTGGCCAGAGGCTCTCCAAACTGCTTCCGGACATGGAGGTGGTCTCGGGTGAGCAGGACTGAAGCGTGAGCAGCCCCCAGAGAGCAGGAAGCTGGGAAGAAGAACGCCAACGCTGCGACTGAGCCAGGACAGCTACCTGCCGGGTCCGAGACCTCCCTGCCGCGCCCTCTTCTCACCAACGTTGATCCTCCCTCCGTTCAGTCCCTTCATGGCAATGAGGAAGCCCTGGCCCTCGTTCCCGATCCTGTTGGCCACGGGGACAGCACAGTCTTCAAAGATCACAGCTCGGGTTGGCTGTGAATTCCACCCCACCTGGCAAAAAGCAGGCACTGTCTGGCTGCCCACAGATTCCCACTCAGGGCAGCATTCTCTGTTGGCAAAGCCTGCAAAGTACAGGGTCTATTATCCAGAGACTTAGACCCTTGAACTTAACAGGAGGGAAAATAAATAAAAAGTTCAGACTTAACCACCTGTCAACTCTCACCCATCTTTTTTCAGCTTAACATTTTTAACATATTAAGGGATCTATGTTCTAATGTCCACTCTATAACTGCGGATAAAGTAAAGGTTCCTATGGCCAGGATTCTCATCTGGCCCTGGGTGGCTAGCTCACTACAGGTGTGGGCAATACATTGCTATTGACTCTATATAAAGAGTCAATATCCACAAACATTTCTGCCCAGTGCTCTGGGTGACCTGGTGGCAGGGCTGCAGGGCTGCAGGAGAGCAGAGGCTGGAATGGTGGCCGTGCCAAGGACAGAGACTGAGATGGCTGCAGGGGTAGAGAGGCCCAGAGGCAGAGACGGAGTTGGATTACAGACCTGCACACTGTTGGATGCAGACATAATTCTAGTGCTTGACCTATCGCAGGGAGAATAAGCCAGATAATAAACCCTTTCACCCCAAGAACATTCCATTGTCATTCCCTGGTGTGGATAAAGTGAAGGTTCCTGTGGCCAGGACTCTCACCTGGCCCTAGTTGGCTAGCTCACTACACACGTGTGGGCAATTAATTGCTACTGACTCTATATAAAGAGCTCTGCCCAGTGCTCTGGGCGAAATGGTGGCAGGCCTGCAGGAGAGCAGAGCAGAGGCTGGAGTAGTGGCAGTGCCGAGGACAGAGACTGAGACGGCTGCAGGGGTAGAGAGGCCCAGGGGCAGAGACCGGCTTCTTGCATGCAGACTCGCTCTGAATGGATGGGATTCTAGTGATTGACCTGCCACCGTAGAAATACAGCTGGGTATAATTCTTTCACCCCAAGAACGTTCTACTGTCATTTCTTTGGTCACATTGAATCCATCGTGAACTTGCCTGGCGCTGGAACCCATTGGTAAGACAACCACACTAAATTATCCAGAAACATTTCTCACAATTTCTTCTAGGACTGGGGAGGACTGTCCTCATTTTTGGTGTCTCTGGGTATGCTCTCATAAAAACACAGACAACATAAGGACTATGTGTAAGGATTATCATTACAGTAGCCCACAGTTCTTCTGAAAGCTTAGTGTTCTTTAAGATGTTATCATTGGGTGACAGGCAAAAGCCAATCATGTACATCTTTTCCTAACTTGGCATTCAGTGATATCATGTCAATGGCTTAAAATCAGCCCTGGAAGGAGTATTATAGCACAGCAACTGGGAAACGCTAACTATGAGGGATTTTGGTTTTTGATATTCCTAGATGTCTGACATACTAGAGTATCACTGGATATGACAGTCACAAGCCCAGAAGAAAATCTGAGTATCTAAGATGTAGTCCATGTCATGCAACTAACCAGCTATATTCTTCATCCCTGGCTTCTTTGTGCTTCAGTGTTCTCTTACAGAAGGGAACTGGACTAGAAAGCCGGCAGAGTCACTTCCTTCAAATAAAACCTCAGTCAGATGTGGCACATATACAGATGAAGGCCCCCACTACTTGATCCCCTCATCTTTTCTTCCAGGTGCTCCAGGGTGTCAACGAACTATAAGGCTTGGTGAGGCAGATTCTGAAAACCATGAGACTGTGTAGAATCTCTGGGTTCCCTGACAGCTCTGAAAACACCATTGCCTTCACATCAGCACCCCTTCCTCCTGCCGAACATCTGACAGCTGCCTTTGTTGGGAAGATGAACTTATTCCTCAGCCTTTTATTTCAGTTCTTTTAAAATCTGGCCCAATCCTTCTTTCTCACCTGTAAGGGTCTCAGCACCAGTCCAACTGATCTGCATTGTACACCACAGAGCTTTTTTAACCTGAACTTTTGCTTATTCTGCTCCCTGTGCTGGGAATACTCCCCATCCTCAACCTCCCTCAAAGTCTAGCTTAACTGGGGCCTCCTGAGGCCTTCCTAGTCACCTGAGCCAGTGCTGAACTTGTTCTCTTTCAGGCTCCCATCCCATAGCCTCCACCACAAGTCTGAGACCTTCTGGTACAGGCCTGTGTGCTGGTTTCCTGTGTACTCATCCCCCCAGCCAGTAGACGAGACACCTGAAAGCAGGAATGGACCAGGAAGTTCTGACCTTAATGATATCAAAATATAAATGAACCAAATACAAACCAATTACAGCTGCTACCTCTTAACTTCTAACCTCCTACTGCACAAGCGCCTACCTTTTCCCCCAGAGCAGAGAGAATTCCTTCCTAATCCTATCAGAGCCCAGGCAAGCTGCAGCCTGTGAGGCAGACTGGCCCCTCTGCTCTCCTGGGGCCACACGACACTGGAGCCCACCCTTCTCTGTCCTGTCTTCTGTTCCACATATTATCTTCAAATTCCCTTCCATGAGTCCTAACTTTGACCCCTCCCGTGAGAAAAACCATTCTTCTATACAAAACCTTTAAACAATTAAATCCAAGATAAAGCAAGCCCTTCTTACTTTCCCAAAAAGTTATTGCAAAACTGGTGGTTTAAAGCTCTCAGCTGTGTAAAGTGTTAAATATGCCCAGTCAAAGCTCATGCTTGCAGGAAAGATTACCGTGGAGCAGGGAGAGAACAGCCAGCTGCTTAGGTGAGCAGAACAGCCAAAACAAACACATGCTCCTCAAATATGCTAATCTTATTCCCATCTCAGGCCTTTTGTATCTGCTGCTCTCTGCTTGGAGTTCTTCTCACAGCTGGCCCCTTCCAACACTTCAGATCTCATCTCAGATGTCACATCTCCACACCTCTGCCTCTGCCTTTATGTAAAGAAGCTCTCCTCAATCAGTGTCCTGTCACCCTGTTTTCTGTCCTTCATAGCACTGAGAACAGAAGCTTCTTTATCCGTGTGTCTGCTGTCTATCCTACTTGCTAAATTGTAAATTCTGCAGGAGCAGAGCATGTCTGTCTTGCTCCCTATTACCTGGAAGAGTGCCTGGCACACAGTGGGCACTCACCAGCCATGGAATGAGGGAAGAGACGTCCTTCCAATTTCCTTTACATTAAAAATTACATAAAGCAAAACTAAAGTAAAAAAGAAACAAGAAATGAAAGAAAATACATATGCTTAAAAGTGAGAAGAGACAAACAAAATGAGGGCAAGACACCCTTTCTGTTTATGGAACTTGCAATTCTTCTTTAGGCGCTCAACTTGATAGCTTTGGTATTCTGTCAACAGATACCACAAATACTGAGGTGGATACTCCCTATGTGTATGGATCAATCAATACTATCTTTATAAGCACAAGCACCTATATCAGTATAACCTGATCCTGCATACTTATGTGTCAGATTACATAAGCCAGTCTGTCTTTTAATCTAAAACAGGCATTCCTAAGATTAAGAAGCTCCATAGCTATGCAACTTATATATCATATATATAGCTTATGCAGAAAAGACAGCATATGTCTTAGAATCCCAAACAAGGCGAGGAGTGACTTCTGCAACTCCCAGGAGCTAGCATAAGGCTCTGCACATAGTGGGTACCTACTGAACACCTGCTATGATGTAAAAGAAAAGTGGCATAAAATTCCTAACTCTTCAGCGGTTACAAAGGATCAGGAAGGGTCAGGAAGGGAGATATGGAAACCCTGTAAGATCCAGAAGGGAACTATATTTAGAGGTCATTTCATTACCTGACTTCTCCCGGAAGTCCGATCTGTCACAGTCCCTCCTGGAGGTAGACGACAGTACTAGTCATTTAGCCTAACAAATCGAGGTGGGTCTCACTCACCACCAGCTGTAGTCACATAACCACAGTTCTACTGTTCATGGCCTGGCTCTGTGATTTCTTAATCCTACAAGTGTCTTCTCAAAGTACCTGTGGAACCACCCTCCCTCTCCATTACTGAAATACTCACAGTCATCTCCAATGAGTTTTACTTTATTCATACTTAAAGAAAAACAGCCCATATGTTTTTCATTCCTGAGACTTCTGGTCAGCACAAGAATCTTCTGTAAGTACTTCTGTAAGTACAGGTATCAGAGTACATCAGCTAAAAAGCTGGGTAAGAAATATAGGCCAAAGGTTGAGGCAGGAGTGATGAGACATCTCTCATGCTAAAACAACAGGTTGTTTATGGAGTTTCTTGGCTGACTGCCACTTTTGCCAGTGGCCTCGTGTCTCTTTAGCAACACCCATTCTCTTGTAGAAACTGTAATAGAAGCAATTGCTGCCAAGGCAAGTTAGCCACGGTGAGAACCTGTTTCCTGAAACAGAGAAAAGGTTGCTCTGGCCTGGCAGTCTCATAACATGAACTGCTTCATGCCTAATATCCGCTCACCTTTTTTTCCTTCTTGCCAAAGCTGAGGCCAGGGGTCCCTTTCTCAACAAGTATGCATGAGATGCCTTTGGGCCCAGGTCCTCCTGTTCGGCACATGACCACATAGATGTCTGACTCACCTCCACCACTGATGAAGGCCTGCAGTATTGGAGACAGGGTGCACAGGGACCAGGGAAAGCATGAGTTCTCAGAGCCTACCATTTGGGAAAACAACCAAGGTCCTCCCAACAATAGGACACTGTAGCAGCACAGAGAAACTAAGTGGGGGTTTGGGTGGTTAAAAAGAATTTCCCTGTCTGGGGAGTCCAAGAGCTAGCTGATGGAATTATGACAGGATGGACAAAATGTAAGAGATTATCTGCAATCATATCAGAAGAGATAGAAATACTGAAGGTGAACAAAGGGAAAACAGGTCAGTGGTTGACTTCCCAACATGTAGAAATCCCATGGAATATGAACTTGCAGATGGCAAGGATTCAGGTGATGTCAGCAGGAAGATGGCAACAATCTCCAAGTTCTTCTGGGAGACCGGCATGTACCTTGGAGCCATTGAGGATGTAACGATCTCCTTGTCGGTTAGCTGAGGTCAAAAGGGAGGCAGCATCGCTCCCACTTCCTAAGGCAGGAATCAAAATGCAGTCAAGTCAGTGAAGTTAAGGGAGCCCCAGCATGGTTCCAATTCCTAGGAAATCTTCCCTTAAAACAACAGATCAGAGTTTGATACTTTACAATCTAGACAGCCGAAGGAATTCTCTGTACTTGGTGAAAACTGCTACGGCACTCGGCCCATTTTCTGTCTCCCATCACACTAGCTGGAAGGGGGCCTTGTCCAGTCTGCATCCTGGGGAGGCTCTGCTCTAGCGGCCTCTTACTCTTGTAACATGAGTTCATGAGAATCTTTACTCCACAACAAACTTTTAGGTAAACAATGGTTATACGTATCAGCAGGCTAAGGAGTGCTGAGTGATGTCACATGGGTGACATTTCCTGCTACATCTCCCCTGTAGTATGGCAAACCCACCTGGTTCAGTGAGACAGTAGGAGGCAAACTTCTCCATGGTACAGAGCAGTGGACAAAATTTGTGCCTCTGTTCCTCATCTCCAAACATGTCAATAATCCAGGCACACATGCTGACAAGTACACCAAGAAGAAAGACATCGACAGAGATAAAGATGAAAAGAAAAGGAAGTTGGAAGTGGGAGGGAAAGGGAAAGAGAACAAAGGGCATAAAGTAGAATAAAGTGGAAGGGAGAGTGAGAAGGGAAAAGTCACACATGAGAAGATGTGTCTTTAAAGGCAAGGTCTGAATTCAAACATATTCCTGAACATGGACTACCCAGAGATAACCAGGGCCGAGGTACTTCTCACTTGGGCATTCAGGCTTCTCCTACTTAGGTTAAATAAGCTCCTTAAAAATCAAAGAGTTCTATGCACCTTCCTAAATTCCAGGAGGTTTCATCTTTGGGTTGAAGAAAGGGGAACAGGGCCTTGACCACTGTCCTGGAGAAATCTGGTACCAGGCTCAGTCTAGGACTTGGGAGAAGGCCGGCCAACCTGCCTCTCTAGGCAACATACAAGAAGACAGATTCAAGTCCAATAGGCAGCAGCAGACCTTGTGTGAATTTTTAACATGTAGTATCATGGAAAAATCCTGTCCTATCTATGTTTATAGTTCAAGGGCATTCAAAAACAGATAAATCTGTTTCCTTTCATCTGAAATCTGAGACTTTACTGTGCTTCCCAAGCTTTAGCACTCACTTGTGAATGCTTATATAGGCTGTGGTGCTGGTGCAGCCTGTAGCCAAGGCTTCAAAGATGACAGAGGTATCGAGCCGTGACAGTCCGGACCCACCTACATCTGTTCGAACGTAGACCCCCCCAAAGCCTAGCTGGGCTGCTTTTCGCATCACATCCACTGGAAACAGCTCCTACGTACAGAAGAGAGCAGGGTCATTAGTGATTCATAGATGGACTTTTCTACAGAGGGATTTAGATGTTTGCCTTTGGGAACAAATAGGGAGTCTCTTAATGCCTATTTGTTATCTACCCAGTTGGTTACCTGTTACAGTACCTACTATGAGGACTGGTTTTCTGGCAGAGAAGTTTATTTGATTATCAATAGAACTTCCTTGGTTTTAAGAATGTCCAAATCTTTGCACAATTAAAAAAAATGTTACCTACAGGATGAGGAGGGTGCCACCTAGGGAAGGAGCCATGCTGTTACTGGTACCCTCATTTGCAGTAAGAGTTGTTAAGTGGAGAATAAACACTGAATTAGGATTATAAGGAGATGAAGATAAGCATCACCCCATGCAGCATTTGCTGGAACTTCAAGCCACAAGTTAAACACCTGCCTTCTGGTCCCACTCCGCCATATTTGGAGCCATCTCTCGGGCAGCAAAGTCAAAGGCCACTTTCTGAAATTCTTTCTGCTCTTCATTGAGTCCCATGGAAGCTGTGGGCAAGATTGCACATATTTAGTTCCAGGAAAAGGGTCAAGAAAGTGCTGCTGCGGACAGCAAGCACAATGAAGCTGGGACAGTGGACCTACAATAGCACTTCCAATACACGGCACAACATTTACCATCCACACTAATGGCATCATCCACCATCAATCAGTTTCTCTGATATACCATCACCTTCTTTCTACTGCTTTTACTTCCAAGTGGACTGACTGACTTCACTTATATCCTAGCTACTTATTCTTTTAAACCTCTCTTTCTTCTTCCTCCCTTAAATGCACATTTAAAAAATAATAAACATGTATTGACCCTCAAATTATGGCACACATTTTTCACATTTTTTTCCTTTAGAATGTTCTACCTTTTCTATATTGGTATCCTGGAAAAATTTTGTCCTACATAAGGCACAGTGATTATTCAACTTGCAATATCACTGTTTTACAAATTTTCTTTATAAATAGCTAGTTCTCCTAATGACATGAGCACAATTTATTTCTTACACTTAAAAGAAAAATACTGCAGAGGGAGACAGGACTGAATTGGAAAGCAGAGCAGCAAGTCAACTGGCTAGCTAAGGCCCAAAACATTTTCCGTTTTGCAAGGTAATGCAGACTTCAGCTAGCTGCTGGCCAGACGCTAAAAGTAAAGAACCCAGGCAAAGTTCCTGGGGAAAACAAACCTTTTGGAGATAGTGTAGAGAATTTAAGACAGATAGGACAACAAATACTGGGAGCCAGCATACCACAGCAGGACCAGCAAACTGCTCCAGGTGAAGCAGACTTACATTGTTCACATTAATTTCTCTTTTATTGTTTCTTAGTATTGCCACTTTGAAAGGACCACCTGCCTCAGGTGTGCTAGGAAAAAATAAAGGAGTGTATGTGTATACTTGGAGACACACTGAAGCCCTGGGTACAGTGGTGGCTGTAAAAATGTTGGGGAAAGAAGAAGTGCAGGGCATGGCATTGCCTTCTAAAACTTTATCGTTCAGTGCTAAACATCTGGTCACTTTGGAGCAATGCTAAAGAGCACGAAAGGAAGACTACAGCACCACACTCGACAAATTATTTCAGTGCCTAGTAGAAGGCGGTTCTTACAACAGAGAACAAGTGCAGGTGGCAGAGTCTGTTTCTCTGGGGACACCTGGGCACTAGGAACAGCTGGCTGTGTGAACCAGGAGAAAGCAATCTGTCTGTATCAGGACCCTCATTAAAAGGGGAATCTAGAAATGGACAGATGTGAGGATTAAAGACTAGACTACCTTGAGAAGCCCAGAGCAGAAACCTATGTTAGATGTTACTCTGAGGAACATGGTTATGGTTATGGCTGGTGGTTCCCCAATTGGGGGTCAGATCACTTATTTGTACAGTCTTGCAGAAGTGCTCCTGTAGATCACGGCTCAAAGACCACTTATAAAAGAATATTCAATGTCTACTAAGGAACAGTGCTGGGGTTACAAAGATGAATATAGTCCATCTACACAAAGCATGACATAAATGGTAATAATGCAAACATCTTAATGTAAATAGATAAGTCTACAGAATTTCAGTCCCAGTAAGACCTCAATATATGTTTAGTTACTGTTGTTATTATTATTATCAGAGTGAAACAGATAGTTCAAGGAACAAAAGGCTTAATAAAAAGATTTGAATTGCACTCTAAGTAAATAATAGGTAACAGGTATATGCAGGTCATGTGTATAAGTAAATACAACATACTACATTTTTAAGATAGGTAAAATAGTCAATTTTAGATAAGAGAATGCTAACAAAAGAGAGCATTGCTTAAAAAAAAGTGGAAAAGAGGTTAAAAATTATAAATAAGAAAGCATTGTGACTCAGTAAAAATAAAGTTCTCAGAAGACATACACTAGAAAAGAAAACAAAAACCAGGCCTCATGAAGCGTGCTGGAGTTACTAGCAAAATTCAAAAAGCCAAAACACACACTGAAATGGGAAAGATAGACAGAAAAAGGGCCCAAATGAGATGAGGAAAGCCTTCACTGAATTGCAACTCCAGTGTAGAAAAGAGGCGAAAAACAAAAAACATAAGAATCTTTAAATGCATCCAAAGTAGAAACATAACTAAAGAATCAATGGTTCTGTATGAGCATCTTGGTGTTCAAGGAATATTGGGAAGTTGCAGCTAATTGCAGTGAAAGAGTGCTGGAGGAGGAATCCGGTGTTCAAGCTCCAGTTCTGAAATTATTGACTGAACAACTTTCAGTAAGTCAGGTACTTCTCTAAGCTTCAGTTACACTGTTGTAAAATGAGGGAGGTGCACTAGAGAGAGTAAATTTCCTTATCTGTATATTTATTATATAGTACATATATAATAGATATATATATATATAGTACATATATAAAAAATAAATACATGTACTATATAATAAAATAAAAATCACAAGTCTCTTAAAAAGTATTTTTCACATTAAAATATACAAACTATGAGAAGTATTTGCTAATAAAGGTGAAAAATCACCTCCCTGGCTGGTTACACCACCGACTGCTGGAAACACTGATATTTAACCTATCTGCTGCCAGAACAACTCCTTATCTGCAACAAGGGGGACCTTGTTTACCAAACTTACATGGTAGTAACTTGTGAAGGTGTTTCAGGACACAGAGGAACACACTGTTCTATACCTCAGTGTACTTTCCAGATCTGCGTGTCAATCTAAGGGCTTCACAGACTATTTTGCTATAAAGAAAAGGCCACCTATTTAAGACTTTAGAAAACAATTCCTTAGGAAAAAAATGGTTAGGTACTTACAGTTACAAAGAGGATGGGTAGCCCCTACATCCCCACCACTCCATTACAACCAAATTATCTGCCTCGTACCTGAAGACAGGTCTGTAGACTCTGGTAACGTTTCCCATCGCAATAAGTTATTTTTCCTACAGGAATTATAAATATAAAAGTGTTTTATAGCTACAGGTGTTAAGTTGTAAAAGTTGTATATGTGAGCAAATCTTGAATTACTGGGGGCTTTTGTTCTTCTATTATCATGAGTACCAGGCTTTTTACATTTTTATTACCTTTCCAACCTATTATTCTGATTTAAAAGAGAAGAAAATCCATGAGTTCCTGCACCTTTCTCTAAGCATTCCACTCCTTATCTGAAAGCAGGGATAGTAACAGAATGTCCCTCAGAGTTGGGAGCAAAAATGTAACACCCTTAGATATTGTATTCATATGTAAACCTACAAGAAGTTACATCAAGAGGTTGACCATATAAGGTCATACCTTTAAGAAAGATTTGAACAATTAAGGAATAGCATTAGCAACAAGGATTAAGCTGTAAAGCTGCAAAGTATTTTCATATCTCACTCTATCTTCAGAGGGTCCCTGTAAGGAGGGAAGACATCGTTTCACAGTTGGAAACTCCCGAGTTCCTCTAGATGGGTGAGATGGATAGGAGACAGCACAGGCTTAAGAACAAACAGAAGACCTGAAGCACCGAGGCTTAGCATCCACGCCGAGTCTGAAAGGGTGGGGGTGGGCGACGTAGCAGAGGAGGACCAGGGGCGCAGAAGACCAACAAAGACCGGAGAGTGAGGGCGGCCAGGAAAGCCAGACAGGTGGGAAGCACGGTGTGACAACCGTGCCGGCCGCAGGAGGTGAAAGCAAGCCCCGCGGGCGCAGACACCACCGCCCCCCGCCCGCGTCCCTGACCCCTGCAACCTCACGGCGAGCCTTACGATCGATGCAGGAGACCAAGCTCCGGTGGCCCCCATCGGCGGGAACCCAGAGACCGCCACGCAGGCAGCAAAATCGCGCTCGGAGACGCCAGCAGCAGCTCCGAAGCATAACTGCACTACACCTCCCGCCCAGGCCAGACAGCCTACGACCTCAGGGCGCTCTCCCTGGCCGCCCCTCCTCCCCTCCCCGCTTCCTGGGAGCTGTAGTGCTCGCCGGACTCCCACTGTCTGGACTCAGCGGGCCTGCGACAGGGGCCGGGACTACAACTCCCAGAGGTCTCCGGGCTTCGGCGCGTGGGTGACGTGTTCAAAGGGCCGCGGGCCGCACACACGGCCCCTCCGGCGCCTGGGAGGGGGGCCGCGATCAAGCCTGCGGAGTGGTGGGGCCCTTGCCCTCAGAGAATGGGGAGTGAATGAGAGCATCCGAGGGAAGAACCGACTAGAGTTCGAGGGCAGGTTATGCCAGGTGGAAATGGGGTTGTAGGTAACTGGGGGAAGGATTCTTCGCAGAAGAACCTCGGGGCTGAGGCTCGTAAGCGTCCTCTCATTGTCTCTCCATCTTGCTCTGCGCAGGTTTCTGGGAAGAGAGTTGCCTCCGTTATTTCGGCTAACTCCAGAATCCTCAACTCTTAAAGCCCTGCAGGGAGACCATGCCGAGACCCCGGAAGAGGCTGGCTGGGGCTGCTAGGCCAGGTGAGCTGCAGCAAGGCTGAAAAAAGGCAGCCTCCTGATGAACGTTTCACTTCTCCCTGCTTGTGGGGATAATCCTTTGTGGATTATTATTCGTTGCGTTATTCCTAATCGCTCTCCGTCTTTACTCTTCCCACCAAAGCTCCATCTGTTTGTTCACTCAGGCAGTTTGTTCACTCGGTTGTTCATTATTTGGTGATCACAAAAAATACCTGCAATACAGGGTAGCATGTACTAGAGAGAAGGCTACGCAGTTCCTGTTCTCTGGGAAAATGTAACAGACGAAAGAGGAAGGGTCCAGGAAACTGCTTTGCAAGGGTCTGAGGGCAGGGAGGAATCCCTGGAAATGCCTCGAGGAGGAGGTGGAATTTGAGTCAGACTTAAAAGAATGGGGAGACTTAACACGGGCAAAGAAAATGAGATGTCATTTTTGTATTCACAAGGACGAATGACATCCTAAGTGGATGGAGAGCAGGAACAATGCAATTAAAGGTAGAGAGTGTACCTCTTTTGGGAACGGCATGTGTTCCAGATTGACTACAACACAGGGTGTTACAGAGCACCACAAATGGTGCTCTAAGTTTGCCTATTAATTTCAAAGGGGCCACTAAAAAACTAGGCTGGGAAGGTTCAGAGTATTAGACATGCATATACGGTATTTAACGATGAGTGATGTAGGATATTCAGAGGCTCTGTAGTATATAGTCATTAAGTGTGGATTCAGATAGACCATGTGACAGATCCTGATTCTATCATTTACTGGATGTGTACTCTGGTACACATTTTCCTGATGAAAAGAGTTTTTTCATTGTACAAATTAACTGAGTTATGGTTAGGGTAACACATAGAGCATAAGGTCTGTCATACAATAGTAATTTAACAACTGTTAGTTATTGAGTGCCTCCTATGTTCCAGACATAGTCCCAGGCATATTTTCTCTAATTCTCTTGGGATGAAATTCAGTCTTTACCATACCTACAAAGTCCTGAGTGAGCTATTTTGTCCTTTTCTTGGAACCTTCACAGAACAGAAAGGCAAGCCACAGAGCACAGTGGGCAAGAAGGAAAGATGTATGAGATGATAAAAGCTAATATTTACTTAGCATTTATTATAATTCCAGGCATTATCTAAGCTCATTGTTTATATTATCTTATTCATCCTTCAAAACAAGTTCTGAGCAGGTGCTCAAGTGTCCTCATTGGAAAAAATAGCTTCAACAAAGGCACAGAAGAGAATGAGGGAAAGAAAACATTCATTGTGTACTTAATATATGCCATATACTCTGCTAGGACCTTTAATCCTAAACCACAACCACGCAAGGGATTCTTACCCCACTGAATGGATAATCCAGAAGATATCCTCTAAGGTAGGCATTCTTGTCCCATTTTTATAGATAAGAAACTGAAGTCCAGCGGTTAAGTTGCTACTGCTGGTAATGACGGTTCCAGGATTTGAATCCTGGTTCTATCCCAAAATACATGGTTTTCCCATAATGGAATGTTACCTTTCATCAACTATGACAGGTCTCTTCTTTTTTATGCTTCTATTGCAGATGAGAAAAGGCCAGTAGGAAAACGTACCAAAACTAAGAACCCAGGGGAGGCATCACCTGAAGTGGAGAACTCCAGCTCTCAGGAAACCTCAGCCTCTAAACATTGTGGGAAGAATCTAAGGAGCTACTGGCTGATGAAGTCAGAGCCAGAAAGCCGACTAGAGAAAGGTGTAGATGTGAAGGTGAGACCGACCATGTACCTGTCCGCAACCCCTTCAAGCCGTTTAGTAAATAAGAAGTGAATATGGGACACCACAGGGTACCATCATTGTCTCCTTACCTTTGAAGCTTAAGGAAAAGGTAATAAGGAATAAAATCAGTAGAATTTTATGAATCCTTTATCTAGGGTAGAGGTCAGCAAACTGTTTATAAAGGGCCAGATAGTAAACATTTCAGGCTTTTGGTCGCTGTTGTAATTCTCATGTTGTCACAAGAAAATAGCCTTAGACAGTATGTAAACAAATAGTGCAACTATAATCCAATAAAACTTTATTTACAAAATCAGGCATGGGGGCTTGATTTGGCCTGAGTGCTGTAGTTTGCCAACCCCTGATCTAAGCAACACTTCAATGTTAGGTTGCCTTTCTCTTGCCATCTGCCACGCTCTCAGGTATCTCACTGCCAACAGTTGGCATATTTTCAGGGAATTTTAATAATAGCCTGGAAAAAATACAATTACAAATGTTATAGAAATATGTAATATATTAATAAGTGAAACAGATAACCAGATTACCTTATCATCTGGGCAGTCCATTCAACTAACCCTTTTAATTAGCAAGGATAACAAGATAATACAGGCTTGCTTACATTTGCTCAATTTAAGTGGCTCTGTGGAGCTACTTCCCAGTAAACTACATACTTCCACTATAGCCAAAAGCATCCTCAATGTGGGGGAAGAAACTGTTGGCTTCCATATATTCTTACCAATTGGCCCAGGATTGTTTAATGAATGACTTTTTATTTCCTGTTGCTAGTTCAGCATTGAGGATCTCAAGGCCCAACCCAAGCAGACAGCATGCTGGGATGGTGTTCGCAACTATCAGGTAAGAGGGTAAGAGCAGGACCCTGAGACCCAGGATAGGATAAATGCCTGCCTTCTTGGACTTATTCGGTAGCAGAATCTCTTGGCCAAGGTTGCTTTCTCCCAGAACCCCAAACCTGAAAATGGATTCAAAAATACCCTATTTACCTGATCACATGCAATTTGCAAATAGCCTGTGTTCTATTCACTGTCCTGGTACAAGTCTGAACATCATGGCAAAGGTAAGAACTGAATTGGGGAGAAGTTGTAAAAAAGAAAACTCATCTAATAAAAGCAGACTTGAGTTCCACCAACAGCTGTTGTTTGACAGCTCCTGAGGAAATAGTTCTTGTTTCTTCTCCCCTTGGACAGGCCCGGAACTTTCTTCGAGCCATGAAGCTGGAGGAAGAAGCCTTCTTCTACCATAGCAACTGCAAAAAGCCAGGCATTGCAGGACTTATGAAGGTTAGGTATACAGGCTTTGGTCTTAATCCATCTCCCCTGAGGAGGACTTATTCATGTAGATATAAAGGGATATAGCTTAAATAGGTAACAGAAAAGAAGTCCCCTCCTCTCCATCCCTGTTGTCATAGGAATATGGAACAACTATCCTGGCCCCTTCCTATGCAACAGGACTATAAAAACACAGGCCTCCTTTCATGGGCAACAGACTTCTCTCCATTTCTGTGCTTTATGCCTGGGTCTTTAACCCCAAAGTAGAGCTCCTCATAGCTTTTCCAAGCCAGGAGTTACTGGGATACAATTATTATATACAAGTAAAAAAACAGTGGTACCAGTAATAATCTGTAATACTTAGTTTTAGAACATACTTGTAAGATTTTTTGTCAAAACAGTGTTTGTTGATTTCCTATGCTTGCCTTAGACTGTATATTATTTCCAGATATGTGAGCCCTCACTGGCTCTACAGCAAGACAGATTAGGTAAGAATGTAGGGTCAGAAATTAAAGTTGGACCTGGATTAAAGATTGGCCATGAGCTGACTGTACAGGCAAATGATTAGAGACTTGGTTTTGTTTTCAGATTGTGAAGGAGGCTTACCCAGACCACACACAGTTTGAGAAAAACAATCCCCATTATGATCCATCCAGCAAAGAAGACAACCCCAAATGGTCGATGGTAAAGACTGCTATTTTTCCTATTTCCTGAAAGGGGAAAGGATGGACAGAGGGAGGAAAAAGGTCTTGGGGAACTTCAGGTCAAAGTACAGAGCGCCACTCTTACTCAGATGAGGTTACTCTGACTTTGGACTTAAGAACAGAAAGCCCTGCCTACAGGAGCCTCCTGCGAGCAGCGGCACACACAGTGGACAGTCTGGCTGGGTGTGTCTATCTGTCACATAGGTGGATGTACAGCTTGTTCGGATGATGAAGCGTTTTATTCCCCTGGCTGAGCTCAAAGCCTACCACCAGGCTCACAAAACCACCAGTGGTCCATTAAAAAACATGGTTCTCTTCACTCGCCAGAGACTCTCAGTTCAGCCCCTGACCCAAGGTAAGAGTGGCCCTGTCATTTATTACCCATACACCAGAATGACTCCATGAATTCACTTTTACTGGCTGATTAAACTTGGGTATGGCACTTACCTTCTCCAAGTCTGTCTCCTCTCGTGTAACCCCCATGAGGGAGGACGTATGTTCTGAATTACCCATAGTTAGGTACCACCAGCCAGCAGTGCTTGGCCTAGGGCAGAACACTCCACACGTGGTTTCAAATGAATGACCACCTGCTTTGGTAATGGGAAATACCTAGCATAACTTCCCTGTTCAAGAGGAAACACAGACCTAATTCTTCACTTTCTTTTCCCTTTTTGGTAGAGGAATTTGATTTTATTTTGAGCCTAGAGGAAGAGGAACCGAGTTAACTGAGACACTGTTGCTGGAATGAGCAAGACATTACTCCAAAGAAGCTTTTATAAGACAAAAGTGTGAAGAGGCTTGCTTGTTATGTTCACCTGGTGTTGTACATAGGTGGTTTTTGTGTACTTTGTTCAATAAAACATTAATATCAAAGTTGAAAGTTTTTCTCTTAAAGTAGCATTGGGGGTAGTAGAATACTCCATTTCAGATCTTTTACGTCCAGGATGGCTCTTTCTGCCCCTCGGCAAGCTGCAGGGCTGCCTCTACCATCTTCCGATACCAGAACAAATACCTGGGTATGTGGTTCAGTGTGTTAACCCACTTAAATGACTTTTACACCAGCCTTCCTCACCACCAGTCCCTGAAATCATGTGGGTCCCATGGGGTTTAAATCATTAGCAGTTTCAGGACAAGTTGCTGGATAGAGGAGTAAAACCAGAATTCCTTTCTCAGCTATGTGCTTGTCTAACACAGTGTTCAAGTGTTTCTTGTTCACCAGGGGCCACAGACCTGGAGAGGGCAGGTGTTGTACTGGATAAGGGTGGAAGTCTGTATTCCCCTGCGTGGGGGAGGACAGCGTTAAGACAGAAGAGACCACAGAACCTGGTGGACCGAGGGCACAATGCCTCCACCGAGGGGCTGCCTTTAATCAGACAATTGAAACAAGTGTTCTTTTTTTAAAATACAGCCATTGAAAAGACAACACATTAAGAAACATGTAAACACTGCAGCTGCTTAATTACAAGTTGCACTGCTTGTTTAGTACCTATGCACTCCCAGGTATGGGGACCTTTAAAGGAGGGGGATGGAGCCTCCTCTCACTTCCACAGTTAGAGAAAAGATTGGGAATGGGACAGAGTAAGAGAAAACAGAAGACCTGGCATGTGCACAGTTCCTGAGAGAATAAAAGCAAATTCTATTTTGTAGTTCTCCCAGAAGAAAGGTTTAAGTGAGATGTTAGCAAAGTTGAGAAATAAATGTGTTGTCAGTTGGGAGCAGAGGAACTGACAGATGCTTTCTAGTTAGAATGCCGGCTATTACAGGAGGCACACCAGAGCCTAACCCCATGCTGCGACGAAGGCAAAGAACACAGAACCTGCCTCCCTCATACACTTAAGCTCCAACTTGACAATTCAGGGACAGCTGGATGGGTCTTCCTCTGCCTGTAGGGACTGTCCCCTGCACCTGAACCTGGGGTCCAGCCTGGGGAAACTGCCTTAGCTTCCTTGGTTCTGCTGTCCCCCGCCAGTCTCCAGGCATCCCAAATGCCTTTCCCTCCAGTCCCAGTCTGATCCGTAAGCCCTGCCTAAAGGCCCATGACTGCACTGCTTTCTGAGGAAAAGAGTCCCCAAATGAAAGGCTGACACAGGAACCAACCCCTCTGCTTTCAAATTTAAAGAGAACTCAGACTGCCCAATATTGTAGTTATTGGCCAGAGGGGTCTTCCTGGACCTTCTAGAAGGGAAGTGAAGCCAACAGGAGAGCAGTTCCTGGTCATTTCCAGATGAAGCAGAAAAGGATGTCAATACCTGTACTACAATAGGCCCTCGCACAGCACAACAGGGAAAGTCCCCTCTCCTCCAGCGTGACAATACCCACAAGTTTTTCTATATGTGGTTTTAAACAAACACCCATGGTCCTGATCTGGTCAGTGAACTGGAAGATGACATGATTTGCCAGGCAGACTTATTCTCAAGTTGTGTAGCTGAGTCTTCTGCCAAGGCCCTCACCTCCCTCCTTTAACTGGTAAGCAGGAAGCGACAAGGCTTGCGCGATAGTAAAAACAAAACCCTCAAGGGTTTGAAACCAAGCCCCAACTCGTAGAAATTAAATGGAGACAAGGAGTGATGAGGAATCACACTTAGGGAGCAAAGAGATCTAGGCCCTTCCCAGGATCTCTTCCTACAGAAAACAGGTGCCCTTGTCTAGGCTCACTGGGGCACACTGAGCAATACCCCAAGACCACGTGGTGAAGGCAGGCAGCCACCATGCGGTCACCATCCTCCCCCTCAGCGGGCCTGGCGTGGCCTCCTGTGTTCGGCCGTGCCGCCATCCATGCGTGACACTGACCCTGTGGTGCCTCTGTGCCCAGGATTTCTCATGGGTGAGGGGACAATCAGCCAAAAGCCCTTCCACAGGCTCCTGTTCCAGAATGTTACTGACAAGAGTCCATAGAAGATGGAGAAGAGAAGGGAGATGACTGGGTCCAGCGGTGAGAGAAAGGCCAGAAAGGAGGTGGCTTGTGGAAACCTCTCAAGCACCACATCCAAGACTCCCAAAGAGGTAGCTTCCTGATCTTGAGTCTCCCCCCTGCCATTTAGGGTGGGGCAGGCCCAACTCCTTCTGCCACTACCTCAGGGACAGTAGATGGGAGTGTAAGACGTGGATACCAAGGGCCCTGTTGGCAGCTTGGAATCCCAGGGACGTGCTCAGATCCTGTACCAAGCTCAGAGCCAGGAACCAAGGATGCCTGCCCTCTGCTCGCCTAGCAGATGTAGGGCAGCCCCACATGGAAGGCCTCCACAGAAGGCTCTTTTCCCAGAGAGGGACTAGCTTCCAGGTGCTACCTCTCCCTATTCCCACAACAGCCGTAGAACCCCAAGGACACTGCTTCCCAACCCAAGCCCCTTAGGTTCTTCAGAAAAAAGAATTTAAGTCAAAACATGATTTGTTTTCAGGTTGCAAGTAACGGGTCAGTTGAGGATCATACCGTCTGCCCCGACCCCAAGCCGCTGGTGTTTGGTAGACGGGGGTGCTGGGGTGCAAGCCCAGCAGCTTCTGGGCCCCAGGGGCCTACTGCCTGCTGTTGTTGTCAGACAGCTGGTTGGGGGTCCGCACCTCACCCAGGGAGGTTGTGCCCTCGAAGCGCTGTGAAGCGATGGCTGCCTGGTGGGACATGCTCTTCCGTACGATGTCACCCTTCCGCCACAGCACCACTTCCTGTAGAGTTGGAAGAGGGTGGCAACATGACACCATTAGAGGGATGCAGAGGGATGGGTTTCCCACAGGCTCCAACTTGCTACTTGGGGAATCTTGGGGAAGAGCCTCCTCTGCTCATCTCTCACCAAGATGGCTGCTGCCCATGCTTCCTTGTCCCCAAGGCTCCTCCTGATGGTGTGGCCAGAAGGGCAGAGTGATCACAGGGCTCGAACCCAAGGAAACAGACTCTAGGTATCAAGTGGGAACCCTTGTTCTTGCTGTGGGACTCTCAGCAATCCATGTTTCCACCTTGTAGTAAACCAGCACGTGGCACAGACACTAATAAGCTTTCTCCCCTGTACTATTCTGCTTACTGGTCAGGAATGATGTCCCACCTGTGCTGTTCCTAGGCAGCCAGGGGCCTGGAGGTGGTGACAGGCCTCACCTGCTGTTTGAAATAGCGCCGTTCCTCCTCATCTATCAGCACCAGGTTAAGGTAATAGCGCACAGAGAACTTCTTGTTGATGTCGCGCATGGTTGGGGTGAGCTCATACCCAGCCAGGAAGAGCCGGATTGGGATGGATTCTCCTGGAAGGGCCAGGCAGAAATCAGACCAAAGGACAAAGTGACCCAGTCTATCTTACACCATATCATTCTCTGACCACGGCAGGGGAGATGCCACCTGGACCTGTAAAGAACACTCGCTAAGCAAGTGCCTCTGCCTTTTGGCAAGTTGCATTCTGCTGCCCAGTGATTGATTTGCGGAGCAAAATCATGACTCAGCAGTTCCAGTCCAGGTCCTTTTGCGAATGCTGAGTGTCCTTGTCTCACCATCCAAACACAGAGACCAGTGAGCAGCAGTGAGTATGAACAGCACAGGCGTATCACTGTTAAGCATCTTTTGGTTACATGTAATGTGTCTAGCTGTTGGGGTTTCAAGAGCCAACTGTCAAACCCTAGCTAACTCATCATATAACTGAGCAATTCTAATGCCACCTCCCTCCATCCTAACTAAGGTATACCTCCCAAAACACATCTCTACTCTGAGATGGACTGGTACAGTGGTATAGTGGTCTGGAAACAAAAAATCTTTATTTGTGTCCCAGCTCTCCATTTGCCAGTTGTATGAATTCTGTCTGAGTAAGCCTGTTGCTTTTTCTGGACCTTAATTTTCTCATGTGGAAAATTAAAGAATCAGATTATATAATATTTTATGTCCCTTTCAGCTTGAATATCGTGCCTTTCCTAGTATAAGCAGAACAAAATTAGGGTAGTAATTCTACTGAGAAATGACAAATCTATGATGTGGTCTAAAGCTAAATATAAATGATCTTTTAATTATCTGCTGTCGGTATTGTTCTCTGCCCCATTTCACTTGTACAGGGAAAATGACAGTTGGCTCCATTTGCACAGCTGGTGAAAAAATGGAACATACAGAGTCAGGAGGGCCCAGTTCTGTCCCCCAAGGGCCTGACATAGTGACACCCAAGAATCTTCTGTTAGTGCCTGAGTGTTTCAGGCTGCTAAATCTACAACAGTCCTCTTTCCATGTGGAACAGACTGTGGGAATAAACTGAATAAAACTTCAGCATCACTAAGCACTTCTCAATGAAAAACACATTCTTGCTCATCTGTTGTTATAGTCAGTGAAGAACATAAAGGACTGCTATGCCCAAATAATCACACAGGTTCCCCAAATAAGAAAACTTTTAACTCCATTCATCCCAGATGTAATGCCAGCCAGCTCCATGAGGTGGCGGGCCAGTTTCCATCCAGTTTGAGGGCTGTTTGTAGCACCTACTCACCCTGGCCAGAGTACCTATCTATACTCGGTGAATACAGAGCACATATCATTTTACCAGAGCAAGAACTAAGTAACATAAATGACTATTCTGCCTTAGTCTCTTGTTTCTAGGAGCAAAGGATATCAAAATGTCAATAGGAAAAAGTAATAAAATGGTCAAACTGTATCTACTAAGCCACTACTTTTCAACCTTTTTTGTTAATAGAGGTTAATTTCTGAGGTCCACTTTGCAGTACAAACTCAATATATAAACAAGGCTGAGTGGAGCTCTTTCAGGTGAAGGTGTGGTTCTTAAGAGTTCCACATCTCAGCCCTCTTTTTCCTTCTTCTTGGGACCCACAGGTACAGTGGAGATCAGGAAGTCATAGAAAATCTTACTTTAACTTATAATCCCTCAAGCCCCTCCAAAGTTCTGTGTGGGGCCTGGGAAGTGTGGCTGTGGCTTGGGGGCTGGGGCACTCACCTCTCACTGGTGCTCCATCCATGATCTCATACTTGGCTATCGTGTCGTTCTCATGGTATACATTGGGACCCGTGCCTGTCGTTTCCCGCTTGATGATGTCTATCTCCATGTGCTTGATTTTGATTCTCACCAGCAGGAAGTATATTTTCCCTACAATGACATCTTTCAAATGGTATCTGAGAAAGAGAAGAAAAGATGTGTGTACAGCAGCTGACATTTGTAGACCTTCCTGACTCAGGAGAGGGGACACCACCAGCATGTAGGCTAACTTTGGAGTCACTGCACTCACCCATACTGCCACCCACATCGTCACTGCAGAATCATGTCCCAGTGCGTTCTTTACCTGAATCACAGTAACTTCTGTCCCTTCCATTACAGATACAGCTGAAAGGGCATCTTTCCTGCATGTTATGTCACCATTTCTGCTGCTCATCTGCTCTGTCT